TCTCATCACCTTCAGGGGAAGCATGCTCGAAGAACAGCTTCAGAAACCTCTGTGGTTTCATAAAGAATTTTGTAATGTTTTTTCAGATTTATATGTAATGGAAACAACTTGACAATAGAAACATTTGAAAGTCTAATTTTTGGGCTCACAAAAAAATCTGAAATTTGATCATCAGAAGTAGAGTCCTTGGGTAAAAGCTTAAAGGTGTGGATGTGTTTGTATCCACATGCATCTTGGCTGTCTTTGGGAAGAGCTGGAGCACTCCTAGTGCGAAGCAGCTCGTACTGGGCTGGAGCAGTTTAGATTTCCTGTATAATGTAGCGGGAAAAAAAATTATTTTGATAACTTGATTTGTATGCTGCTGAGCTCTTGTCTTCAGTGCACTGCGAGATGGGTACTTGTCATGAGATCCTCTGTTGAATATAAAAACAAGAATGTGGGAACTGTGTTCCTGAAACTTCAGTGCCTGCTAAGCAGATGGCTCCACACAGACCCCTGAAGTGAGCAAGACAGAAAAGAGTGTGACTAGCAAAATAAGGATTTATAAGGGATAAAGGGTCTTCAGTTTCTCAGTGATACCTGTAACATTCAGCCCTGTGGCTCTTCTAGGCCTGTCTCATAATTATTACAAGGTAAATCACGTAACTTCAGACCACTTGGGTTTATTTCGTTTGTCCTGTTAGGGCTTTGCTGACACTGCTCTTCTGGCAAGCAGGATTTTCTCAGGAAAATGCTTTAAAGAGTCAGCAGAACTCAGCCAGGTTTTGTCATGCTCTATTTACCAGAAAACATGGTTTTCTTTTGCAATGGAGTGTGGTACTTTGCTTAAAGAATGTGTTGTGGCGTTGTCCGATACCTTTGTTGTTGAGCTGGAGGACTCGTTTCAGACTTCAGTTATGTTTGGTACATACGCACAAAAACAAAGCAACCCTTTGCTTCCCAAAGTGTGAGAGGTTTTCCTTCCAGTTCCTCTAAGCTTCACACAGCTGTAGCAGTCATCCTTCTGTAGAGGCCCTAATGTAGACACAGGTACATCAGTTTTACAGATACACTGGGTGTATCCATACGACTTACATGGTACGTAAAGCTGACTTTGTTCTTGACCCCGTTGAACCCAGGGCTATATAAAGGAAAGAAGATGTTTTCGTGCCATTTTCTGTGGCATAACTTGTGCTTTTTTGTTCCAACACGATGCTGTTGTCCTTAGGGATGAAGCTGGCCAACTCCTGTTACTGAGAATGTTGAAGTCATAATGTTTTGATACAAACTGGAAAACTTGGTACTTACAGAATATTGGTCCCTAGGAGGTCATGTGAGGACTTACCCTTTGATTAGGCCCCTGCTAAATCTTAAGTTTTCAAGGTAAAAATCACCTTTATTCTTTGTAACAATTTTAACAGGGTAGGACTAGTGCAGCCTGGTAAAACAGTTTGGAAGTTCACCCGCCTGTGGACAATTGGTTTTGAAATGACCCTGAGAGATGCTGTAATAGCGCACCAAGAGGAGGGGGTGCAGAAATCCGTATTTGTATGTGGTTTGCCTTTGGGAGTGTAACGGGAAAACAAGCAGGTTCCCTGCCCCTGCTCCAGGCAAGGAAGGAAATGTGCTGCTTAGGGGGTTGAATGACCCGGGGCTCTTCCACAGGGACAGTGACAAAGGCACCAGCTGGTTTATTAGCAGTGTGTGAACTGTGCTGACCATGGTCCACATGCTGTTAATCTGGTGTGTGAAAGAAAAGGAGCTGTTTGTATCAGTGCTGAGTGCAGGGGGGACCTCGGGGGAAGGTGTCCTCCCCTCTGGCTGTTCCTCTGTGCTTTGCTGTCCTTGTGTTAAGGATGTACTTAATCTTCCAGCATAGCTAGTTGCTGTCGTTCCTTTCTTGTGCTTGCTCACTCATTTCCCCCCCCCCCCCCCCCCCC